TTTTTTTTTTCCCCCCCTTTTTTTGTTTTTTTTCCCTTTTTTTTTCTTTTTTTTTTTTTTCTTTTTTTTCTCTCCGTAAAGAATTCCATAGAGATATAAACGTTCTTCGCGCATAAAAAATGACATAGATATATCTTAAGTACGAATGAAAAATATTTTAAGTACGTTTTTATAATTATGAAGAAAAAAAATAAAATTATATTGCAATTACGATTAAAAACTAATTCGTTGCGTAGATATATATATATATATAAAATCTAGTAGGAAAATTATATAAATCGAACGCATATAATCGCGTAAAAATGGGAACATATATACGATGAGAATGATTACCGATTAAAAGTCTCTGCCCATGAATTATAAAAATTCAATAAAAATAATTCGAGTTTTATATTCGCGTATCCTTAGGACTTATTTAAAGATATCTCGTTTATAATCTATACATAGTGCCATCTTTGATTGCCCAGAGACTACGATATCCATCATATAAATCTCATTAAAAAGAAGACCATTTCACGGCTATATAAATGTTATCTTAAGCCTTTAGAAAATAAGTTGTAAAGATTTGAAAACCCTGTGAGTGCTATGCAACTGACTACTTTCATTGCATTTTCCTTTCTTTTTTTTTCATTATTTTGTTCTCTTTTTTTTTTTTTAAACTTTTTGGTTGTATATTTTAGAATGTAAGTCGATGGTATCGCGTTAACCGGTATAAACACGGAGCATTTAATTGCAATGCACTGGTTTAACCGGTATACAATACCCTATTATATAGAAGTATACTCATATAAAATAAAACATATCCAAAAAACGATATACTCATATAAAGTATACGATGCACACACTTCTTTTTATCCTAGGGCAGGATTCTTACTATACAAACTATTACAGTTTCTTATTGAGCATATTTTAGAAATTGTTTAAATCGTTGTAGGAAGTATTTCAATTGTATTGTATTGACTTAATTTCAACTATACGCTAGAATCTAGAATCTCTTATAAAAACTCCCCTTTGCTTTGTTGGGTTCTTTTGATTGTGCGGATTCGCTTTGTAAGAAGACATTATTGTAAAAAGACATAAAGAAAGCCAGAAAGATAAGCGTTATGAATAGGTTCCTTTTAATGTGATTTCTGAACCTTGGAAGTTAAAAGATAATCCTCTCTTTCTTTCGATTCAATACACATTTCATGCCATGCATTTCATCTCAATGCTTTAAAAAAGCATTGAGATTAATCAACTAGATACTTGCGTATAGTGTAAATAGTCATGATGCCCCAATTATAAATTTCTACCATGAATACTCTTACTGGTTTTGTTTGGAATTCCTAGGAACTTCAAATTTTCCGCTCTCTTCCCAAACAATGTTGCTACGTTCAAGCTTCCTATAAAAACGATAAAATTACAAAAAAAATTAACATAGTAACAATGATATAATTCCATTAACTATATATGCTACTCACATCGGGAAACAAAAAGTGTTCACGAGTAGGTTGCGGTTGTTCAAAGGGAGAGCTGCTCATATATCCAGGCGAAGGGGACTCGCTTTTCTCAAGTACTGGGGTAATATTTGCGTAATTGGCTGATGGTGTCGTCAACGTTCTTCCTTGCTCGACAAGAATACTTCTGTCAATCTTGTAATACTCTTTTCCACTGCGAGGACGAAGCGTCGTTGCAACTGCTCTGCCACCCAGTCTGAAAAACCGAGTAAAAGATCGAGTATTCTTCTACTTCTTCTTCTTCTTCTTCTTCTTCTTAATGACCTCTTCTTAGTCAGTGTTTCTTCACGATACGAAAAGGGTGGAAGCTTTAAGAATACGTTAATTACATTCTTTACACGAGCATCTTACCTCAGACTGTCCGGCGTATCGGATGACGAGTGAGAGGATAACGACAACGTCTCGATATAATCTGACATATCAGATGTACCGCTACTCGTGCTTCGCGAGTCGATATAAGGGGTATTAGACACTTCCCCTGGACTATTGAAGCCTTTCGTTGCCTTGGGTAAACATGTCGGAATGTCAGCTTCTGCTGAAGAGGATTTCGTAGGGATTTTGATTTTCTGAAATTGAAAGGACAACTCTCGAAGTGGATCACTGGATTTTGATTTTCTTGGTAAACTGCTGTGATAACACGTAGGCGGTGAACTTTTTCTATAAACAGACAACACATTCTGCTTCCTCGTCGACGTCGAAGCGGTCAATGATAATTCGAACTCCACGAATTCTGCCGTTCTATGACTAAGAGATCCGGTAGAAACACCTGAATCGTTACTACTAGAAGAGTCTCTGTTATGACCAGTTTTGGATGGAACGGAAGAGGAGCGTCGAATTTTTATGAACGATGGTTGGGGCGAGGTTACCGATATTTGTCCATTATCTTGGTTAATCTTGACTTCTGAATTAACGCATGGAGAATGCGTTTCTCCTCTTACCAGAGAGGCTTTGTCCGCTTCGCTGGAACATTTATGAATGGTCAACGTCGAAGGGAACGTATGATTCTCATCATCCAAATAATGAGCAGATTCTGCAGAATAAGATCGTTTTCTTAACAGTAAACCAATGTTTCCATTTGATTCTGTCGAACCATTTCCGTCCAAGTAACGACGTCTAAGATACGGGCTGGACAACATCGCCGAACCTGGAACACGAAACTCGGAATCGGATCTCTTTTTGCCGCTTTCCGACAAAGCGGAACCTGATAATGCAGGATTGCTCGAACTCTTTATACCGCTGCAAATTCTGGACAAAATCTCTTTCGAACAAGCATTGTGCGCTGGTTGCATCGGTAAATAGCCAGGGAACGGTTTCTTTGGCGTTTGCTTTTCAGGATCCATAACTAAATAATCGTTTTCGCTATCTTTAACGTGGCCACACTTCTGGCATATTTTGGACGAATCTTCTGTGGGCGGTTCAGGTGTGTCGTCCTTAATTTGATCGGAAAATTTTTCTATTTCTTCTTGTGATATTCCACTCTTCGCCAAAAGGTCTTTACTGTTTTCGTAATGCTCGAGGGATTGGGTGAAATCTATATTCGCGTAATTCGCCTGTTTAGACTCAGGTTGCGTGTCGATAACAGGTTCAACGTTCTCATAATTGTTGGTTCTGGTTTCTGGACATTCGCAATTATCCTTGTTCTTATCTTCCACGTTCTCCGATTTCTTGACCCGTTTCGCTGTTGCGTAAATCGCAATCTCTCCGCTTGCGTTAACCACAGGCATTTTCCCTTCTCCAGAAAGTTTCACAGGATGCACAGCAACCCCGGTTGGTTCAATTCCTGCACCTCTTCTACAATATGGCAGTACGAAACCAGCCCAACTCATCACATTTTGGCAGGGACATCCGGAGGATCTGGGAGATTGAACGGTGAGCTTGGCCGGACAACCGCATTGCTGCAACACTACAGCTTGAGGTGTTTGCGGTGTATCGTAATTAGGATAAGTTTTTGGCAGTGCTAGGCATTCTTTGATTTTCCTTGGCGTGTCATAATACTGATCCGGTTGAGAATTCTGTTCCAACACCATATGATGGCCCAAAATCGTCTTGGGTACGTCGTAATTTTCGTAAGGACCAGCAGCAGCGGGTGTGTTTCGCAGGACCAATTGCTGCTTACGCGAGTGAACGCAAACTTGTTCATTTGGCAATGGCATGGGAGGTTTCTTAACCTTTTTTGTGGCAGTGCTTTGGGACGGTTTCGGAGGTCTCGGCGGCAATGCGCTAGGACTTGGCGACACGCGTTGAACGCTCGATTGTTGCTGCGAATTCTTCGAATTTTGCGAACAATGACATTCCATTTGTTGTGAACTGGAATAATCACTGTCATGACTGCTACTACTGTACGAGGATAATGACAATCGATCGAGCGTGCGTGGTTGCAAGTGACATCCTAAATTATTCATAGTTCCTGCCGGACTGCTTATACTGCTTGCTCCGGTCGTAGTGGCTAAAGTCGAGGATTTCGAGACAGTTCCTAGCTTGCTTATACAACTAGCACATCGTTCGAGAGCGGATGTTCCTTGACGAGTGAGAGAACAGCTGCGCCATTCTCCCGGCTGATCAGGCAATTCCGACACGGAGACAGTGTCTCTGCTACTATAATCCCTGTCAAGTTCAGTTTGTTGCCTACTCTCGGTAGACGACCAATAGGGCGAGCTCTCGTTCTTGCAGCTGTCGCACTGCTCTTCATACGTGGACGAGTAAACAGCCGAGGGGAAGAAATCGCTAGCCCTCGTTTCCGATCGGGAGAATTGACGGCGCGGGCTTTCCTGCGCTATCTGCTCTCTGCTCATTGGTCGTTTTTTCGTCAGCTTCCCTTCCGCCGCTAATTGCAGCATCTTTACAATATCTTCTCCTTGATCCGTTATTAGTACGTGAAGACCTTCCCCTCGACCGCATCTCGAACCACCCTCGAAGCAAAATCGTCCTTCCACCACGCCGTATCGTCGAAGATGCGCGATTTCCCAAATACCAACTAATCTGGGAGGTATTCCGACTGTGATACAGAAACGACGATCCTGAATATGTAAATGAGCTGGGCCATTTGTTAGTTTCGCTTTCGATGGAACTGTGGAAATTAGGATCAGGAACTGTTGATCTGTGGAAATAAGATGATTTGAGTTAAGTGGAAAATGTTTAAAAAAGTCATGATTTATTTTTAATTAATTTTTTTCAACGAAAATGCATACCTTCGCCCAAATTGTTAGAGATTTTCACTTGCCATTGTATCAATCGTTCTCTGGTGTCGAAAGCCAAAACAACCGTCACATCTTGGCATATTATAGCTATTGTGTTTGATTCCTTATCAAGAGTGAAACCACTCTCTACACCGAGGAAATGTTGCAAGCTTAATGAAGCTTTTGTTTGGCCTTGTTTATATCGATCCTTGCTATCTCCGTAAAGTTGTAAATGAAGACAATCTACAAATGAGTACGACGTCTTCTATATAACTGTGCGTTGTTTAAAATAAACAAAAAAACGTTAAAAATGTTTTTGCGAAAATATTTTTAAATAAACATTTTGATAAAGTTTTCTGATATTTCACGCTTTAAGTGACTAATTTAACACTTATAGGCAGATGTAGAAATGCAGTAAATCCTATGTTAGCCCCTTCTATGTACTCTTAACTAATTCTTCCTAAAGAAAATTTATGAGCTACTGGTGTCCCTAAGTTTTAAAATATCCTTAACTTACAAGGGCCAGGTATTAATGGTTATTGCCAGAAGCAAAGCTCTTCTTGGAAATTTTTTTTGTTTCTCCAGCTAGTCAATCTGTAACAGATGTGCCAGCTGCCACCCTAGGATAGGGACACAGGGAGGAATTCTTTATGCTGATAACAAGTAAGGAAATTCTTTTAGATAGGATTAGAATTGTGATAGGAAATAGAATTGTTATTATTTTTTAGAGTCACTTTGTAACAATTTCTTATCTTCTTTTTACAGGTGTAGTTTAAATATTAACTTTTTTTTTTATCAATATTGATAAGATTAAAAGAAGTCATTCTTAAAATGCATATGAATAGTTCATTGTAAAGAATATATATATTGAATATTATACAAAGAAAAAAGCGTCCTTATATCTTTAAATAATAAATAATACCAAAAAGAGAGATATGTAAAATGTGCAACATTTCCTGTTTGTTATCTACATCTCTAATGAAATTTCATATATTTTCTTTTGTTTTAGTGATAATGTTTTATACTTTTGTTTATAATGTAATAAAATAATTTTTATTATATATATTTTTAAAACCTACTTTTATAAGTAAAGATAAAGTTTATTTAAAAAAATAATTTTACCTGCAACTGGTGATAATTTTCTCATGACACACCATCTTGATTTCCACTGTAATGCAAATAAATAATTTTTGAATAAATATTAAAAAATTTTGCAGAACTTTGATATTAGCTTAATAATTATATTAAATTGATGAATTTCATAATGTATCACTGAACATTACTAATAACTTTAGTAATATAACATTAATAATAACAAATAATACAAAGATTTGATTATACATAAATATCTCATATAATAATGTTTATTGTCTTATGTTTATATGCCTAATGTTACATGCCTTATGTTTATATAGATTTATTATGCATAAAAACATTATACGTATGTAATACACGTTTGCTTGAATCCATTTGAACCCTCTATACCCCTATGATAAAAATAAAAGAATTTCCTACCCTTTCCCATCTGAATAACTTCTTTGGTACCCCAATGTAAATAAAAGAAAATGAACTAGCTTTTTATGGCTTTATGACTCTTCATTTCTTTTCACATTAAATACTTCCTTAAGCTTTCAACAACTACTTCATAGTTATAATGTTCATTGAAATCATATCATGATATCTTAATTTGATTTTTTGCTCATGTTAAATAGAAATTAAGCATTGCATTGAAATTTTTATGGTTTTAAAAAAATAAATATTTGATATTGACACAAGTTTATTAAAATAATTAAGTTTCTAATCATTCATGAAACACTGTATTCTTGAACATTAAATATCTAATAACTATATGTTAAATGTATATAATATATATAATTAATTAAATATATATAAGATTAAAAATTATTTTTATAACATTATAATTTTCAGCATGTTATTATAATTTATAATATATGTTGATGAAAGAAATGAAATTTAATCATATATAATTTGAATTTGAATTTTCATATTTTTCATTGATTCAATAAAAGGTTGTATACATATGTATATATATTTTACAAGTAGTACACGAGTATTTGACGAGAGCATTAGCGCAAGATCCTTACATTATTATGTAATTTTTTTTATTGAAATCATTGTATTTAAGCAATTTTAAAATAATTAAATATAAAAATGAATTTGAATTGAATTATGATTCATTAGAATGATCTTCCAAATATAGAATATAGAATACTGCGTAATATTTTATCATTATATAGATTCACGAGATAAATTAAATTATGTTATATTGACAAATAATGAATTAAAGAATTAATATTCATCGGACACTATGATCGTAAATGTAAAGATGTAACTAATTAAGAAAAAATTTAAACAGAAGTACTTACTTTTTTGCCATCGCGAAATTTGACGTTTCCCTCGATAATACAATTGTTATCCACCATTGTAGAAGACTGCTACTACTGCACTGCTTTTAGGTGTTTTTCTCATCACTATATGAAAGCATTCGGTTTACTTAACGCTGCATATCGAGACACTATAAAACACCTTAGGATACTATGAACAACAAAACTTTCTGATGCACAATCTTTTTCTTATTAAACATCAACGACAATTCTCTTTTACGAATCACGCGGCAAAATCCATACTTCGAACCGATGGTACTGAGCATCCATCTTGACAATCTTAACTTGCTGCGTGTACTGCTGCGGTCCTGCTCCCTTTCGAAAGCGTATTCTGCACATTATCCATTCCCCTGCACTTTAGTCCAATGGCGTAGCACTATCTTTTTTACTTTAACAGACTTTCTTCGTAAGCGCCACTGGAACTAAAGCTCTCGTTTACAATGAAAAACTATAAAACCGGATAGTTTACCGATTTCATACTATTAATTTAAATTTTAGAAAGTCAAATTTAAAAAATTAAAAAGTATATTGTACTTTTTATTTTGTCTCAATATAAAATTAAATCAAAGAGATTTCATTATTGAGATTTTGAATAATTTATATAAAATTGAATTTTAGAAACAATTATCAGAATTATTAGAAACAATAATATAAGTATTAAAATATTAAGTTTTATTACATATTTTTTTATTACTATGAAAATTTTTACTAAAATTATATAATTTTGCAAGGATTTATAAAAAAAAATTGACAATGTAAATAATAGTTTTGAATTTTCCGCAAAATTTGCTCGATAATGGCGACATAAGAAATCAATTCATCTATTTATTATCATAGTTTATGGTTTATGGATTTATCATGTGTTCACAGGAAAACTTAACCTGAATCAATATTTTAATTTCTTTATGATGAATACACCAATATTGACAAAACAACAACAAAGACACTCATTGTCAGCAAAAAAAGGATCGGCCAAAGGATTACGAAATGTCTTAGCACAACCTCAAGATCATTATTGGTATGATAATTTTAATTCAAATGTTTTTATAAATAAGTATAAAATTAATTAATAAATTTTATTTTTAATTAATAAATTTATTATCTTATAATAATTTTTTTATAACAACTATAATAATTATATGTTATTATAGGCCAATTGTAGATTTAGAAAAATATCCACTATTAGAAGAACTTTTGAACAAGTAAGTTGAAACAATTTTAAAGAATAAAGATAAATAGTCATATAAATTAATATTTTTTATAATAAATATATATATAGATTAATGCCAGCTATAAAGCGACCATCTCATTCAATTCCATGGTCACAACTTAGGCATATGAAAAAAACAGAACGTGTACAAGCTAAAAAAGAAGCACTTCAAAAAGATGAAAATATATCAAATTCAGAGCTAATGTAAGTATTTTGAAACATCAATGTATATTTTTTTGATATATATAAATTTTAAAAATTTGAAACTTTTTAGAAATTCTGTGATCTTAGGCATAAATGCTATCACAAGATCTTTAGAGAAAAATAATGTTTGTTGTATTTTAATGGATGCAAATATTTCACCACCACTTTTAATAAAGCATATTATTCATATGGCACAAAATAAAAAAGTGCCTTTATTATTATTATCTAAATTAAAATCTATAACGTTACACACTATAGGATTTGCATCTGCTGCATATGCCTTAAAGGTAAAGGTATTTGAAATGTACAAGTAACATTAATCTAATTTTATTTTATTTGTATAATTTCAATTGCAGAATATTGTGATGGAATCTATAGATCATCATTTTCATCCTTTATATGTAACAATATATGATATTTTTAAGGATATACCTCTACCAAAGAATAGACTTCAATTATTCCAAGACATTGAAACATCAGAACAAATCACTTTAGATGAAGAAAACAAAATAGATGTTCAAAATGAACTTCAGATTGATTCTTCAGAGCAAAATAAATTTACAATATCTACAGATGTATATTTGTATAGATCTTCACGTAAAGAAAGAGTATTTATTCCACCTAAATCAAAAGAAAATTCCACACAGGAATCCAAAGATACAGAACAAAATGATTTTATTTCTGTAACTAATTATGATTCTGATGAGTTTGATACAAACATTAAGAAAAATACAAGATATATCAATATTTGTGAAAAAAAGCATTCAAAAAATAGGAAAGATTTTACAAAAATAAATAATGTAACTTCAAATATTAAATATTTACCTTTAAAAGTTAAACGTTTACAAGGTAATATTAATCGCATAAAATCTACAAAAGTAAATAAAAAAAGGCAATAATATAAAAAAAATTATAATTAAAGAATTTTTTATTGTACATGTCAATAAATATTGAATATATAAATACAATTTTTATTTCATTAAATTAATAAATCTTATACATACATATGCATATAGTATATGTTATTTATAATAAAACTATTTTTTATATATATAAATATATACAAAAACTGCATTTTTCACATAACTCAATTAGCAATTTTAATTTTTTATTTTTTATAACAAAAATGTTTTTATTCTTATTAATTATTTAAAATATAAACAAATTTATTATTATTACTATTAATTATATTCTGGCCAAAAAAGCCTCAAAGTCTTAGTATTGTTATGTTATTTATTATTTATATTTGATTATGTACTATAATAAGTCAGTCTTTTGTACATATCAAATCCACATAAAAACATGTGTTTTCCATTTGTTTATAGAAATTATATATACTTTATATATAGAATTTTATAAAATATTATAATTAAAGATACAAAGAATATTTATTTCACATATATTTAATACCTAAGAAACTATAATATCACACAGGCAATGTAGAATTTACAGAAGATTTGAACATTCTTGTAAAAAACATTAGACCTTTTGTTCCTCCTGGTATATGACTTACTAAGAACGATATCATAGCTATTAATTGCAAAACAGCACACAGTACTGTTAATGGTGTAGATTGTAAATGAAGAGCACAATAAAGTGTTCCTATTAAAGTTGCAAAATAGGATATACTAAAGCACCTTCTTTCAGCAGTAAATAATGATTTTAAATAACTCAATGGACCCAAAAGAAAGCAAAAGCTATAAGAATTAATTTAATATAAGTTATTTTTTGTATAATTATATTTTTATTCGTAAATTTACCTTGATAAGAAGAAAACACTTCCTAAGGTGTACAAAAGTGCAAACTTTCGCGCTTTTAATAACAAAACCGGAATATAAATCGCCGATAGACAGAAGCAAAGTACACCCATAGAAAAGCACGCAACAAATGCTATTAGCCTTTGTATTCTTGTCTGTCAAAAAAAAAACGAAATTTGTGATGTTTTTAAAAATATTTAGTAGTTAGGTTACTATATTAACAACAAGATATATATACGAACCATACTAGGACAACATTCTTTTTGTGCTCCTTGAATCCATCCTGTTTCTTCTTTGTCTTCTTCACCTTTTCCAAACCATTTTCCAATATTTGTTTTTGGTATTGTCACCGCAGGTACGGTAATTTTAAATTGTTTCTCATTTTTGCTGCTAAGAAGATATTCATTTAGTTCTTTGTTAAGATCGGCCATTTTGACACGTCGTCATACTTTATGTTTACACGATTATATACAAATTACAAACAATAATTTTCATAAATTATTTTTCTTTATAATATTTATTAAATACTATTCTGAAAATGTGATATATTTTCATAATATAGAATAAAGAAAAAAAAAATATATATATATACATATATAATACTACAGCCATAGATTAAATAAGGAATAGATAGCATTCAATAATTTTCAAATAATTTAGAAGCTATATAAAAAATATATTTTACATATATTTATTTTTATATATCTTTTTAAATTTTTATATGTTATATAATATATATAATATGTCAGTAATCATAATAATATATATATTAGATATACAGAGTAATTTGATAATTGGTAATATAATCGAACAGAAAATAATTATATGTATAAAAAATTGCATTAAATAATTAGTTTATTCTATTTCCTATCTAGATATTAACTGCATTTGCATATTCTGACAAAATATATTTTACAGCAGAAAATGTTCAACATTTAATATATTTTTTATGTCTTATGTTTCGAAAAACTATTATTTATCGATATCTATATTTTTTATAATAAAGATTAAAACATATTGTTTTAAAAGAAGAATGATAAAAGTACGTTCAATTTGTTTTGTACCTCATCTGTAAAGATTTCTTCAAAACTAGAATAAAGTAAAGTAAAAATTGATTTTATCTCTTGAATATTTCTAAAAAATATTTTTGATATTTAAAAGATGGCATAAATTCGTAATTCTTTGTATAAACATATATAAATATATCAAATTCTAATATAATTAGAAAAAATAATTAGAAAAAATAATTAATAAAAATATTGAAAAAAATAATTCGATAGAAAATGATACACGAAATTTTTCCAAATTCAAAAATTTTTGCTGAATTTTGCTTGATTTTAATGATTAAAAAAATATAATTAAATAGAAAATGATATGCGAAAATTTCTTAGTATTTTTAAATTTTAACTGCGAAATATTATTTTCTATAAAAAAATATTGAACAATATAATTGAATTAAAAAAAATGATAAAAAAATAATTTTAAATTATTTTAATTATTTTTTAAGTTAATAACAAATAGGGAAATTGATTGAAAAACAACTTAATCTGTTGTGAGTTTTCAAACTTACATTTATTTAAACAAATCAACATTGACCTCATATTTACGGGTTGTATACTGCATTTGTTGCACAGGTAATGCATCACTCTATTACGCAAGATCTATGTCGCGTCCTGCAACGCGTGGCATCATTTTGGGATTATTTGACAAAAAATCAAATATTGGGGACGGGGGAGACTGAGTATCGACAGTACTCTAATTAGGACTAGAGAAATTCGACTAGAAAAAAATGAGCGGTTGATCGTGCTCGCGTAATGTAATAATAATAATAATAATAAATAATATTCAATAATAATGATCGTGATAATAAAGCTAATAATACTCACAATAATGATAATACTTCTCGGAGTTATAATAAATACGATAATAATATATCAGCAATAATAATAAGCACAACGTAACAATAATCAGGGACATAAATAATATAAATAACAAATTGATCACATTCGAATACAGTACACACTACGAACCATTTCTTTTAACAGGTTCATTATCATTTCGCATTTTTTTTTGTCATTTAATGATTTTATCGCTATATACGTACTGATCACGGTCACTCGATCTCTCGATTATACGATACATGGAATGAGACTGCTAATTATTCAACACGAAGGCTCCTAAAATCATTTTCATATCGCGAAATTAATCATTTATTTTTGTCAGAATTAAAGTACTTATTAATTACATCGTCGGGTATGTAATGTACGTGTGTATGCGTTAATACGCGCATATTTGTGT